AAACATCCCTAAACCCTAAACATCCCAAAACCCTGAACCCTAGCTAAGGTGAGTCAGTGGCTCTAGTAAGTCTTGGAGGACTCTGGCCCTGCCTCCCCAAACCCTGCACGGCTTTGGAGCTTAGGGATGGTAGGGCTTAGGGTTTTAGGGTTTAGGGGTTTAGGGTTTAGGGCTTTAGGGTTTAGGGTTTAGGGTTTAGGGTTTAGGGTTTAGGGCTTAGGGCTTAGGGTTTAGACGTTGCTCCCAAAAAGCCTAAAACCCTAAACCCAAAGCCTCGAACCCTACACCATAAAAGCCCCAAAGCCCCAATAGCCCCAAACCCCAAACCCTGAACCCTTTAATGTAGGGGCCCCAATAATTAGAATAGGGTTCTGGGCTTCTTTATAGAAGGAACCTAAGGAGTAATATAGGTAATAATTTAGGCTTCTATCTAACCCCCGAACCTAAACCCTAAACCCTAAACCCTAAACCCTAAATCCTAAACCCTAAACCCTAAACCCTAAACACTAAACCTCACAAAAACTCTAAACCCAAAACTTGAGAGCTGATTGCCAGGGCACACAAAGCACTGCTGCTGCGCTCATCGATGGCGTTGGGATCATAAGGCCTCTGCCGCTGCTAACGGTTAACGGTTTAGGGTTTAGGGTTTAGGATTTAGGGTGTAGGGTAACATCGGAGCCTTAACAACTAGATACTGCAGGTATAGCAAGGATGTCTGTGGCCTGAGGAATGATATTGGTAACTATTCAGGCTTCTAGATTTCTTACCCACGCGCACTAAGCTTCACCAAATCCGTAGACAGTTAAAGCCTAAAACCCCCCGGGCGCGGTGGGGCTTTTTGAGACATGTTGGGCCTGAAGAACTAGTTTCATCGTTGTAGCGGTATGGCCACATTTGTCACTCCGGGATTCTGTGGTCAATTGACTGAAGACGGCGCATGAGTCTTGAATTTTGTTGATGCAGGGCCCGCTAGAATTGGGATGTAGGAGTTTCCTGTCGGATTTAAGATACCGAAGGCACTGTAGGAGCCTGAGTAGCTAGAATTTTCGCTTCTGGGGTGTATCATCGTATGTTTCTGTTTCAGGAACTCTAATGAATCGTACCGTTTACCTATTTTGGGTCCGGAGTTATCCCACATAACCGGAACCGGATGATCGCTGGAAGCCGGCACGAACAGTCAACCCACGGGCGCCTCTGAAGCGCACACTCCACAGCCGTGGGCACATTCGCACCGCAGGCGAGACGCAACCTCATCTCAGGTCAGGCAACCGAAGGCAGACCTAAACCCTAAACCCCTAAACCCAAATCCTTGAGCCCCTCATTGACAGCAGATCAGGAATCCGAAGGCAGACCTATAGACCCTAAACCCCTAGACCCAAGTTCTTGAAGCCCTAATTGAGGGTTGAGGGATCTCTGGTCCGAGTCTCAGGCCCTAGAAACGCTTAGTCGGCTCCGGCTTGCGGGTTTTCCAAAAAGGCCCGAAGCACCTAGTTCACCCCTGGCTGCAACAAAGAAGAGACTATGATAGGTTCAGCAAAGCATCCGACGGCTACACCAAAGAAGCGGCAAAGCAAATGGCAACTGGTGGCTCCGGGGCTTTTAGCAGAAAGTTTGAGATCCTTGGAGTCATAATTCTTCTTGATGCAGCTTCAAACCTGGCTACCACTAGCTGCCACGGCTGCTTTGTCATGCCATGGGCCAGTATACTATAATTATAGTAAGGAACCCCATTATAAAATAATTATAAGCAGGAGCCCCATCAGGCCATAATTATAATGAGGAACCCCATCAAGACTATAACTAGAACACGGAACCCCATTATACTATAATTATAAAAAGGAGCCCCATTATAGCCCCAGTATCTTGGCCCCTACATGCGCGTGTTCCTAAACCCTAAACCCTGAACCCTAACCCCTAAACCCCAAAGCCCTGAACCCTAAACCCTAAACCCTGAACCCTAAACCCTAAACCCTAATCCCTAAACCCTAAACCCTAAGCCCTAAACCATGGCGAGTGGCTCATCGATGGTCTCAGTGGTTGCCTCGATGAAGGGGACCAAGATCAGCTGCAGCTCCTGACGGCAATCGGGTTTGGGCTGAGAGTTTAGGGTTTAGGGTTTAAGGCTTTAGGGCTTTAGGGCTTTAGGGCTTTAGGGTCTAGGGTTTAGGGTTTAGGGTTCAGGGTTTAGGGTTTAATTCGGGTTTTGGGTACCTGGGGCTTTCGAGACAAGGGCGTCGACTTCAAGTCTCGCGAGTGTAGGATGTCCTTGCTTCACCCAAAGGGTCCCATGTACTGTTATGGGGGATACTTCCCCAAATCATAATAAGAATTCCTAATATAGGAACCCTACATTCTACTATATAGGTACGTAGGACCCTTTGGGTCAGGCTCTGGAAATATAACTCAGCGCCGAGCGTTGAGGGTTTGGGGCTTTGGGGTTTGGGTTTGGGTTTGGGGTTTAGGGTTTGGGGTTTGTGGTTTAGGGTTTGGGGTCTAGGGTTTAAGGTTTACGGTTTAGGGTTTGGGGTTCAGGGTTTGGGGCTTTGGGGTTTAGGGCTTGGGGTTTGTTGTTTAGGGTTTGGGGTTTGGGGTTTAGGTTTGGGGTTAGGGTTTGGGGTTTGGGGATTGGGGTGTAGCGCTCCTTCCAAGAGAGTCTCGAAAAGGCTCAGAATCGAAGTACTCCATGAGGTGAGGAGACCCCTCCACCCCGAGTCTCCCTAGGAACTACACCCCAAACCAAAAAAAAACTTAGCTAATTAATTCATGACTCCATGTTGCCATTCAGCTTGTCCCAATCTTTCAGCAACACACCATCCGGCCTCAGTTGTCGGGTGCCATTCAAGCCGTTTGATGTGATTTGTCTGCTACATATCTTCAGGGTTTGGGGTTTAGGGTTTACATATATGGGTAGTTCTCTAAATTGGGGGGTACCTTTTCAGGGTCCTTTTAGAAAATCCGCACTAGATTTCGGACCCAAAAGGGACCCTAACTTAGAGAACTACCCCATATTCAGGTCTCAAGACATGCAGCCTTGGGTCTCGGATTTGTGGTCTCCGGGTGTGATATCAGACAGGAAGTCTGCAAAGGGCAGACTAGGTCGGGCCTGTAAGTGGGTAGTTCTCTAGTACTATGAGGGTCCACGGATAGGGTTCTCTAGTACTATGAGGGTTCACGGTTTAGGGTTTAAGGTTTAGGGGTCCCTTTTTAGGTCCCCGATAGAGTACGGCACCCTTGTGAATAGGACGTCAAGCGGGACCCTGTTTTGTAGGACAACCCAAGTGGATATCAGTCTTAACAGATCCTGCATCCATGCGCAGGACACCATGATGCCCCCAGTCTCTGTGGAACCTCACGGGAATTGAGCAGGCTAGGTTATAGCTTCTGCTGTGAGAGTCTGTGGGGTTGAGCTGCAGGCTTTCCGTTGGGGGAGTCGGTTCTTGGTTGCGCGCTTTTGGCTTGGATTTCAGAATGACCAGACGCCGAGCCCCATGCCCGAAACCATGAACTCCATTCTCGAACGAGAGACTCCTGCACGAGCCGCTGCCTGTAACGAGTGTAGCCAACAATGTGCTGCAAATGCCTCAGGAGAGGTCTCCGATTTGATCCGCCCCTACCCTTTTGATGAGGGCATAGGGTAGGGATTCTTGGATTTTAGGCTTTGGTAAATATAGAAAGGGCGCCTTACGACTGTTGCTGGGTGTATAGCTGCGCTCACCGTCTTGATAAACACCCTGTCTCAAAATACTCAGGCGGCTGCTATGCCAGAAATTTCATCAGAAAATCGCGACATTGTGGTTACACAGTTTTGGTTACACCAGTTGTTTAGTTGCGCCTGCTAAGTATGCAGGTGTCTACACGACACACATCGATGTGTATCCCCGAGGCCTTACGGCCCTAAGTCCTAAGCCCTACTAGTTCATGGTTGGGGGTAGTATTAAAAATTTAAACTTATATTCCTTATTGGGTTTAAGTACCCTTAAAAATGTAAAATGTTACCCAACTATGACAAAGCCTGAGCCCAAGCCCTGAGCCCTCAGCCCAGCCTTGCCCAAGGCCCACTGATCAAGCTACGAGTGCATACAAGTAGGGGCTAAACCCGAAAACTCCCATGTAGGGTCCGTAACCATCAGAAAATATGAAGGAGTCATACGGTTGATGGACAAAATCCTGCATTACCCACTCTAAGGAATATACCATAATTCCCGTAGTTTAGGGTCCTTAAGGTCATGCAGGATTTTGTCCATCAACCGTATGGAATACCCTAAACCCTAAACCCTCAACCCGAAGCGTGAAGGAGTCCTAAGGACTAGTGTTTCGTTTCTACAGCCCTGTGGCCTGCAGCCCCCAAAACCTCCAACGATCGAAACTCTAGAGCTGAGGCTTCAGGGCCCTAGGGTTTAGGGTTTAGGGTTGAGGGCCCTAGGGTTTAGGGTTTAGGGTTTAGGGTTTAGGGTTCAGGGTTCAGGGTTCAGGGCCCTACGTCCTAAATCCCAAACTCCAAACCAAGAAAACTAAAGCTTATGGGTTCAAGGCTTAGGCTTTGCAAGTTTAGAAGGCGGTCTTTAAGACTTTTTTATTCCACTGCTCTTGAGGGTTTAGGGTTTAGGGTTTAGGAGCTTAAGTTAGGGTTTCGGGTCTCGGGTTTTATGTAAGGCTTAACAATCCCCTCATTCAGGGCGTACAGCAAGGATTTTGGGGCCACTTGGGGCATGAAGGGCCCCATGCTTTTCGCCCAAGGCTTCTGGGAGGGAAAGCAAGGCTAAAGATGAGTCCTATCAGGGTTCAAGCTTCCGGGGTTTAGGGTTTAGGATTTAGGGTTTGGGGTTTAGGGTTTCGGGTTTAGGGTTTAGGGGATCAAGTGTAGGTTGCAGTGCGCCTACGATGGGGAATGCAAAGCGAGCGCGTTGCGGGTTCTCTTCTGCATGGGCTGGGGTTTGGGTGGGCCTTGAGAATGAAGAGAGGCTTTAGGGCTCCGAGTCCGTTTAGGGTTTCAGGTTCAGGGTTCAGGGTTTAGGGTTTAGGGTTTAGGGTTTAGGGTTCAGGGTTTAGGATTTAGGGTTTAGGTGTTTAGGGTAGGATTCGAGATTTGCCCTGATGGCGGCAGCTTTTGATCAAAGGAGGACTAAGCTGTCTCAAGAGCTCCTCGGCACCCAAGAACCATACTTTTCAAGGTTTAAGGGGCGATTGCCTCCTTTACAATAGTTACGTCCCGCTGCTGAGGCTCCTCTTCGTCAGTTAAAGCACTGGCGAGGGTTTAGGGCTTAGGGAAAGCTGTGAACTCTGATCCGGAAGCTCTAGAGCGAAGCGATGCAGCAAGAGCACCGCTTCAACATGAGCACGGGCCATGGATGATCTCCGACGATATTCTCCAATACTTCCTGACATTGGCGTTTCTAGACTAGCAGTTTGGGTCCAAGGTCGTGCTTTAAGGGATCATTGAAACGCTTGCTAGTCTCCAGCTCTGCCAGAGCCCTGCAGGGTATCTCCGGAGCCCTACGACCCGAGAGCCTCCACCCCAAAAGGCCCCTTCAGATGCCAATCAAAGGCCGGAGAGTTCCTGAAACCCCTACCCATAGGCCCCATAGTAGTTCCTTGTTGGGATTACCTATAGGATTCTGAATATGAACCCCAAAAAGGAACTACTATGGGGGCCTATGGGTAAAGCCTAAACCGAAATTCGAAACCCTAAACCCGCAGCCAGTTCGGCTTTGCAATCAGAGCCAAGCGATGGGGGGCTGTTTCTACCCGTCCTTCCGCCAACTGAGTTCTTGAAAAAGAAGCTTATTGTAAATTGGTGTCTTAACCCTAACCCCTTAGCCCTAAACCCCAGAACCCAGCTGAGTCCCGAAATACCAAATCCTAAACCCGAAGGGCGTTCGGGTCTCGGGTTGAGATCCTGGTGAGCTCCATGGGGGAAGCCTAGCCTGCGTTCCATAGGGTTTAGGGTTTAGGGTTTAGGGTTTAGGGTTTAGGGTTTAGGGTTTAGGGTATTTGGGAAATCTTGCTAGCACCCAACAGAAATCAAAGTTTAACCTTTCAGAAGAATGCTATGTCGCCGAGCCCTAAGCCTCAAATCTTTCGCAAATCAATCACTTCGAAGGGAGGTGGTGTTGTTCACCGGAGACAGAGTCCAGCCGCAGTTTGGAGAATCAGGCTCCGAAACTAGGGCTCAGGGTTTAGGGTCTAGGCTCCGACCCTAAACCCTAAACCCTAAGGCTTTTCGGGTCTAGGGTGTAGGAAATCGCACGGTTCCGGGCGTTGCAGTTTCAGAAGTGTCGGGCCTATCAAGGTCTCCAGGCTGTGAGTTTCGGGTGCCTTTAATGTAGGGGCCTTAATAATTACAACAGGATTCTGGTGTCCTTTATGATACTTATAATTAGTATACTTATGATAAGGAGCCCCCAAAATAGTATAGGTAATTACTCAGGCCGCTGTATTACTTTCTTTTGTTTGTTGCTTTTTTGAAGGGGGGATGTTCAGGGTCCATGGCTTGTAGGCAGGAACTCAGGCCTTTGGCCAAGATGCAACATAGAGGCTAAAGGCATACATAATACCTAAAAGCTCCATTGTAGTTCCTCTTTTGTTTAAACAATTTCATAGTGAGGCTCCTATACAGCAAACCCAAAAAAGAACTGCAATGGAGACTAGGTAGTACCGACCAGAAACCGGAATCTGCGCCTAATACACGGATGATGACGACGATTATGACAATGATTATGATGCAGTCCACACTCCCATATTTTGGGTCTCCAGGATTGGCTGAGACTCTGGCCATATCATGTCCGGAAGCACCACAAATTATGCGCCACCATTGTAGAATTCTGGGTTTTGGAAGGATGTAGTATTCAATTTTTCTGCACCCTAAATTCAGGAATGCCCTGAGCCCTAAACCCCCCTAAACTCTGCACCTTGACCCTAAACCGTAAACCCTAAACCCCCCTAAACCCTACACCTTGAACCCTTTTCCAGAAGCACCCGCCCCAAGCTCCTCCATCGGCAGAGCGAGTATCTCCTCCCCCGACATGTTCCGAACGCGCCTGGTTCAGCTACGGGTTTAGAGTTTGGGGTTTAGGGTTTAGGGTTTGTTGTAATCGGGTCTCGGGCTTGATGCCCAAAGCCAAGAGACAACCTCAAGTCAAACCCCTCTCTGCGCCTCTTTTAAAGCCTCTGATCTCCTGCAGGCCGAGGCACAGCAGTTCCTCTGGCATGGTGGCGAAGACGGCGCGCCCGTCGACGCCGCGCGACAAGCGCTGAGTCGGGTGGAGGCTCAAAAGATCTAATGCTGCTGCAGCCGAATGGGCATCACGCCCCAATGTCTGCTAAACCCTAAAACCCTAGACCCTAACCCCCAACCCTCAGCCCTAAACCCTAAACCCTGAACCCTATAACCCGAAACCCTAAACCCTATAAACCCAACCCGCAACCCCTAAACCCTGAACCCTGAACCCTAAACCCTTTGACCCCAAACCCCTAAACTCGAGATCTAAACCCAAAGCCCTGTACCGGCTTCGGCGTTCTGGTCCCTCCGGATGAAGGGGAGAGCGACGGCTTCACGGGTTTAATAGAGGGGCCTTAATAATTAGAATAAGGCTTTCGGGGTTCCTTTAAAGGGTTCCTTAAAGGGTTCTACAAAGGCTATTATAAGGGTTTAATGTAGGGGCCTTAATAATTAGAATAGGGTTTTGGGGACCATTATACTATAGTTATAATCAGGAACCCCCAAAAGAGTATTGGTAATTNNTAATTATCTAGGCCCCTACATTACGGGGTTTGGGGTTTATGAGTGCCCAAACCCTAAAAGAACGCAAAGCCCTAAGGCTCCGGCTTGCGGTACTCGCTAATTCCTACACCCCAAACCCTACATCCCTAAAAATCCCTAAAACCCCGAAAATCCTAAACCCGAACCCTA